GTACCATAATAGATCTTGTTCTTTTCCTCCTCAGTGCAGTTCACAAGATGCTTTACTAGCATAGAGAACAATGTTGCCAAAACATATAGATAAAAATGCTTTCACTCTCTATTTTAATTCTCATCCTTTGATCTCATTGCTGCTGTGGTACATTAATATGATAATACTTCACAAGAAGTCAAATTCAGCAGTGTTTTGTTTTTCTTTTTTAAGAAACATCACATACAGGACACAGATCTAAGAGTAGAGGAGAAACAAAGAGGACAGTGAAAGCTGTAAGACTGCAGTAAGTACTTGGATCTGATACTACACTGACTTTGGTGCTGTGTCATTATACAACTTTTCTAATGTCTCAGTACAAATGATTAAAGTTACATCCTCTCATTTCTACATTAAAATATGAAAAGTGCAAGGACCACTCCTATAAAATGCATTAAATTCAAAGAGCTATAAATAACATTTCTACATTGACAGTATATCACATGACACTTTGTGAAAGGTGTTGCTTGTAGTGATGAACCCACAGGTAACTGTCGCCTGATTCTGCTGTTCCTCTCAGCTCTGTGGAGTGTTTTGGTGTCTTTTGGCTTGAAAACCCACTGTACCCTGCCTGCCCATCACCAAACCACCACCAAAGGTCGCCAGTGAACGTTGTGGAGCATTTAGCAGCTTAAGAGACAGATGTTTCCCCTATGAACTGGTTAAATACCAAAAACAGAGTTAAAAGGACTTGGATCGGTGCTTGTCGACACCAAGTACAGATACAAGTACTTAATAGTAATGCAGTAATATAAAAATTACAGTTACTGGATTACCTTGAAACCTTTTGAGCCTGCTACTCAACACATTGTAATACTGTGTTGTGTGAGTGCGGCCCTCTCTGAGGAGGAAACTTAGAACATAAAATGTGACCTTGTGTCAGAGCTTGCAGTTGGCTTTACTTTTTGTCATCATCATTTATCCTAAAATATTTGGAAACGTCTCAAAATTTCTTCTTCACCACCTAATGACCTGATCAGTCAGCATGAGGTTAAGGTAAGGTTGCCATTAAGTGGTATCAGTGTGTAGTATTGGACTACTTTTGCAAGTATGTGTACATTTAGTAAAGGTGGTATTGGACCCAATAACCGATACTGCTATCAGTATCGGTGCATCCCTAGATTAAAGATTGTTCCCACAGTGGTAACCAAATCAGTAGATGCAAATTTAACAACAAACCACTGATCAGAGTCAACATTCTAATGCTTGCTTTGCAGGTAAAGTCTTGTAGTTTTCTATTATCCCTAGCACTGTTTTTCATTCATTTCTGTATAGTATAATCAGTTACTCCATCAGGAAACTTTTGCAACTTGCTTAAGCTATAAGTGTATCTTGATCAATGCAAACTGCACTCTTACCTCATAATAATAGTGTAACTTTAATGAAACTGAATGAAAACTTGCTGTTCAAATTGACTACATAAGTAATTTTTGAGCATGATCTTACAGATTTTGATAATGTATGGAAATGAATGCATGAAAGCAATGTTAGACAAAGTATTTCTAAAACACAGCAGCACAGGTTGTGAAATGGTTAGCTGTCATGAAAATAGCGTTTAACAGATAGTAACTACTGCTGTGCTCCTTAAACATTCAGCACAAACTGCACACTACTCTCAATATGGTTACACACACATTTCCATGCACTCATTTCCATTAAGAGATGATTCAGTGGAAACAAAAACACTTCAGTATGTACAGTTTTCCTGGGAAACACCCAGATGTAAATGTAGGTCTTGTGAGTGACGAGCCGGATGTGCTGAACAAATAAAACTTGTCCGGACATCTGCACCCAGCAGCAGAGAAGATAATTACCGTCAGTTAGTTGGGTCAGACTTGGTTTGACTTATTTGCATATAAACACAGTTTTTCTGTTATGATGCAAAAGAACTGACACAGAAATTTTGGGAAGTTACTTGCAAAATGTGAGTGATGGAAGAAGATTCCTTCATTTCTTATTCATTTGGTATGGGAAATATTTAATATTATGTAGATGATTAATCAAAAAGTTGTGTTCTTTTCTAGACAGTCCTTATTGTCCCCAGGTGGAGCTTTGTTTTCATAGCCTGTACACAACACAGACCCTGAATATTCATGTCCCTATCCTAGACCCAAAGTCAACTTACACACACATGGGTACAGATGTGTTCAGCAGCATCAAGGATGCAGTCTGTTTAGAGCCACAATGGCAGAACTTCCGCTAAAGCTTCTCCATTTTTAAGTCCAGGTATCTGCAACCAGGAGGTAATAAAAAGTGTGGATTCAGAGGATGATTAGTGTCATGGATATTTAAGATGCTCTAGATATCAATTATGTGTGGTCAAAGCTGAGTTTAATGTGACTAATGAGACCAAGATATTTAAAGCTGTTGAACTGTCTTCACAGTGCCCCATAGATGGGAGCACTCTCATCCTGGAAGGGACCCCTCATTTACTCAGGTTTTCCTTTAATCTGTCACCTGTCTTATTTTAATAACCACTAAATAGTTTTTTTATTTGCCAGCTATTTGTTGGTTTCATCTTCTCAAATGTGGGGATTTTCATCTGTGGTACATGTTTCACAAAGTGAGGTATCAAAAACATTGCTTGGTGTTGGTAACTTGACAATTTTCCATTCAGTGATTTAAATTTATGACAGCAGATCCTTTCTTACAAAACCCCACGTGACTGCTACACACTGAAACACTCCAGCAAATAGTCTAAGAATCACTACACTAATTTTGTACATCTTGCATAACTCAGTGTAATAGCATAGATTAATGACTCCTGTGAATCAGGAGTGTTGACATTGCACTACAGTTAAGATCTCCTGCTCATTGGTTTTTTTTTTAAACTAAGCAGTTTCAGCCTCACCAGAATACTTTGGCTCAGGGGTTTGGCTGCTGTTGGCGAGGTTTTGTTAATGGAGGCCTCACTGTAACGTTGTGTTAATGCTGTGTGCTGCCATGATTTATGATGGTTGGAATTCCCTTCCTCTGCAGATCTGCTCATGCAGGGTAATTGGCCCATTTATCAGAGAAGCAGTAGAAAACCCAAGTGTGGTGATGCACTTGCATTAAGAAGGAGTCTGAGAAGAATAAGCAGGAGAGGTGAATAGGTCAGTGCTGACATAAAGCACAACATAAAGGGATATTTCAACATTTCAGGAAATACACTTATTTTCTTGCCAAGAGTTGGGATGAGAACATTGATGCCATTCACATATGTCAAGCATAAAGGTGGAGCCAGCAGCCTGATACTTTAGCTTAGCATAGTTTAAAGACTGGAAACAGGTGTTAGATATTTTCAGTCAGATAGATATTGGTTAGATACTTTATGTATTAGAAATGTTTAGTGGAGATAGGATGTCTAGTTAGACTGTTAAATGCTTAGTCATGCTTATGAGTTTCTACAGGGTACATCTGGTCAAGGATAACTAGAGAGAAGAGTTGAGGACTGTCAGCAGACAGGGTGTTTAATATTATTATTATGACGTGTATAACTGTAGCCTTAGCCATAATAGGTTCTTATGTTTAAGCCACGACATGTTACTAGAGGTCGTGAGAATGTTTTTAGCTACACACCACTTAACCAACAGACACACACACACAT